GGGGAGAAGTTAAAATTCTATTATTCCTGAGAGTCAAAATAAATTACATGACATTGTGCAAAATCAAAACGGCGACGTTCATGAAACAAGTGAGTTTATTGAGGCAGATAAAACTATGATAGTCAATTTCCTTCTTCCACATTAACAGCTAATGTAAAGGAAAACTTCTTCTTTGAAGTAAAGAAATAATAAAGTTGTCATTAATTTGCTACTGAGCCAGAGGTAACACACCAAAACTTGCTACGTAACTTTAACATAACCAATAATTTATATTGTTATATACCTAGACTTTCACTCACGTGCCCCTGATGAAATTCAATTGTATCCTGACTGTTAATTTTATCCCAACTAGGATACGACTGCGCAGTTGTTAACCGCGCGCCGACCACTACAGCATGTTTTTGCCATATTTTTTCAAGGGGAAGTCTAAATATATAACAAAGCACTTAATATAAGGTCCCTCGGGAAACAAGTTAGTTTTGTTTTCCCTCGAGTCCTAATGTTTCCCTCGACCTCGTCTCGGGAAACACCAGGACCCACGGGAAAACAAAACTAACTGTTTCCCTCGGGACCATGCATTAGGTGTAAAGAGTAATTATCAAGCAAGAAAGCAAACCTAAGATAGTTATCTTCAACTTATATCATAACCGGTCAGGAGACAATTATAAACAATTAATTACACAAGAAATTATCACGGGAAAGGCTATTTTGGGCTGTATTATTTGAATGCATATTCTTATCAGTAGCAACGTGAATAGTTTAGCATAAGTGAAGTGAATGACTTCAACTTCTGAGAAAACAAAATGTAAAACTTATCAGAAAAGCCTCATCATTAAGTAGCATATTGTAAGGGCGTGATTGTGAACATATATATTTTTCGCCGTGAATGAATTCATACTTTGTCCTGCAGGAAGGAGAAGCTGAGACTATTTGGGTTCTCATCCTAGAGGAGCTGGTAGCGAGAAGTTTTAGCACAAAAATGCCCCGTTCGCGAGAAGATTGAATTTGGATTGCTTTAATAGATGTTCTCAACCTCGTTCATGCTTTAACACACAAGGGAAAATTTAACAGCAATTAAATAACACAAGCTTTTTTAAAATTCCTCTGATACTTGTTTCCAACTCTCGAGTCTCAGAATGCCCCTATCGAACAAGAAAGACTTGTTTTATTCCTTGCCTTCACTTATCTTCTTGGTTACCATGGTAGTTAAAAATCATTCCGTTGATTTGATCATTTTTTCTTAATAATCCTTCTTTGGCATCAACGTCCATTTCCACGCTTGAATTTATTTTCATCTGTCTTCACTATCTCCTTGAGTTTCCAAACCTCTTCAGTTGATTGCACGAAGACTCCTTGCTGAACCAAACTTTACTTCTTAAATAAAGCTATTTTGCTTCGACAAAAAAGACACATCGGGGTTTTCTTCGTGCGATATTCCCATAAACATTTTTATTGATTGGTTATTTCCACGTTTCACGGTGACTTCAACAAATCCTACGAGCAGTTTTTACTTTCCATTTCCAAACATTCTACCTTCGCTTTATTTTTTTCCGAAACGCAATGCAATGGCGTGCTCCGAAAAAGCCTCGGACTGTTAAGACTGTTAAGGGCAGCTTCTTCGGAATGAAATGTGTAATCTTCCCGGCAGACGCGATTCAAAAAAACTTGAGTACTGTTCGCCTAGTCCAAAAGGCTTCTGTTTAAAAATTACAACAACTCCTACGCGAATAAAAACTTTCTCCTCTTCATCTGCCAACTGATATCTTTAAAACTAGCGGGCTAAGTTTTTTCGATGTTGCCCTCATCACATAATCTTCAACTGAGCAGTGTGAATATCATAAACATACTGATATTTATATAAACATAACACTTCCTTCGCGGACATAGCTAAATATAATTCTTATTCATTCTGTCAAATATTCATCTTTTGTATCACTGTTTGCAGTAGATGTTTCCCATGGCCAGGTGTCACAAGTGTTTTCTTTTTTTACAGTCGTTGGGTTAAGGAGTAAGTGGCATCGTTTGCCAGATCTTAGGAGAAATGCTTTCGTCGGTTGCCTTTGTTCTCAAGATGTGAAATGTGTATCAGCTTTACGTATCGCGTGAATAGTTTATTCATAAGAACAGTCCTGCAATTTGACGAAGAGTTTTCCTTCTTTTGACTGGAAAATGAGAACTGGATACTTCTACTTTCCCTCTGTGCTGAAAGCTGGGTTGCCATGATTCTCAACATCCAAGGTCCTCGTCTGACTCTAATTATACCACCGTCCACTAAAAATATATGACGCGCTGCTGAACTGCGAGACCTTGCCTCGTATGGCTATTTCACTCGCGGAAAATCGAAACCCATTTCATTTTACGAAAGAAAAAAAAAATTAATCCCTTCTTTGGTACATAACTTGAAAACAATACTATTTATTTCGAGCTTAAGAGCCACACTATAAAAACACGCTTCTAACTGATTTTTTTCTTTTCTCCGAGCGAAAAACTTCTCCATGGAGATGACAGCCCCAGGCGTCCAATATTCTTCCTCTTTTTCTCTTGTGAAAATCCATGGGAGCGTTGCTACCACAAAATTCTTGATAAATTAAGTCCACCTTTCGCCTGGTATTCGGAGTTTCTCTCAATCTTTCACATTTGTAACAGCTATTTTCTTTACCTCTGTTCGTAAACCCAGGCAAGCGCAAGGACCACGCTACGATGTTCCTCATCGGTAAGTCCAAATTTTTGTCTCCATTAAGATAATATTCGCCGGATTCGGAAAATTTCGTCAAAAAAAGAAAAATTTCCATTTCCTTCTAACTGGTCACGTCACAGATTGCAAACTGAATCAGGCTTAACAGACGCTATCATTTCAATATTCCTAACCATCTAACCATCTCACCATCTCTTTTCTCTGTTCAAAATATCTTAATTTGCCTATTTTGGATTTAACAATAATTTCATTGATTCCCGAACAACGTTCACGAAGAGCCAAGTTACTCGTCGTCATTCTTATACCATTGGTGTGGGTCTAATCCCTCTTCTGCATTCAGCATTAAGAATTCTCGTCGATCTGTTTAATCTGTTAAGTCTGGATGATTTCCACAGGCAGAACACCGAGATGCTGATCCTTTAGTCTTCAGTTGTCAAGGTTCAAGTATAGCAAAACCCTCCAGCAACATGTCCTTCTGTGTCCAATCTTGTGTATCGCACCTTCATTCTGCTCCACTGAGATCATCCCTTGTAGCATTAAGCACGAAGCCACGCACGTTTCAACACTGATATGAAACAACACAAACACTAACACATCACCCTCCTTTGACTCAGAAAGGACTGGAACACACCCACTGATGACGTCAATGGGGCGTCCCATACCGTCCAATCACATTAAAGGATCTGCCTGCTGGCTAAGGAACAGGCTTGAAAGAAGATAAATAGGCCAACATTTTCCCGAAGAAAAAAAGTGGCGAAAATATCAAACGAAAACACGCAAAACAACATAAACGCACGCAGCTCAGGTTGAGAACTCTATCAAAAGATCATGCATTGGGTGTGCTACTCACAAAATATCAACCCTATACTCAAAATGGCTTTGAGTTGCTCGATGTCAGCAAGCAATCGTCCATTTTTGTTTTTGGTTATGCGAAACAACAGCTCCTCTTGAGGGATGAGTAAGGGAGCTACTGCAAATCACAGCCTGGCTGTATTCATTAAAGTAATGGACGGAAAATTTGCAAGCAAGAATGAATACATTTGAAGAAAAATACGTCTTCCTTGATACACGATGAACAACGGTTATTGTTCCACTGTTCCGTTTCACTATGTCAAACAATGCAGCCCTTTAAAAACTACTTCTACAATTTCTTCACTGAAACTGTAACGAGGAGTTTCTCTTACTTGAGAGAAATAATATCTTGAAAAGACCAGATTCTCTTGGTACAAAAATTGTTCCAAAGAGCTGGGAAAAATCTGCCGAGAATCTTAACTGCAGACAGATAATCATATTCTATCAAAAATAAATCGAGGAAATATACCAATTTTAAATCTAAGCAATTTAAGGAACACCAACATAGGTGAAAGTTAAAACATGAAGCACAAAGTACATGGTAGACTACCTAAGTTTAACAAAAAATAAACCATCAAACTTATTAGCTCCTTCCAGGAAAGTGGATCTTCTATGTACAAGATCCGTATGTCTGTACCACGAGCTCATTTAAACAGAACTGACTGACTTAATTTGATATCTCTTAAACTACCCTTTGGCCGAAGTTTCTGCATTCTACCAGTCAGAATCCACATTGTACAAAGCGAGATGAGGACAAGAACGATGCTTGGAGTTTTTGCAGCGCTCCCTGCATTTCCGTCAAACTCTTACAATTTGATACCCACTCGTTGGTCTAACCTAGGTCTACTGGCGAAGACTCATTGACTACCTTCAAAACGAGTGTCAAAAAGATATCAAAATTTTTCAGACAGTATCAATGGAAGTGCAAGTAACACTGTAAAGTACCACACTATATATAAAAAATCTGCAACAAAAAGAAGCATGAAAGAAACAGTAACAACAGCTAGATTACTCGTGAATAGAAACAGATTACCAATTTTGTTACCACCGGCTTATGGTCCAAGGAGTTCTCATTTGTTTGGCGTCTTGCTGAAATTAACAGCCAACTTGACTTTCGGAGCAGAGAACTTTCTAGGTTTTGCTCTCCTGTTCTCATCAGAAATCTTTCGCTGGACAGCAGGCTTGTCAACTTCTTCCTCTCCAAATGACGCGGCGAGATTTCTTGAAAATTCCGATTCTGGCTGACAGTCAGACAGGATATCAGCTTCCACTTCCGAGAGGAACAAAACCCCAGCCTTACGAGGAGATGGACTGGCCTGCATCTGTGTTGCATTCCTTATACGTGCTGGTGATACAAAGGCAAACTCCAAATCTTTTAGATCCGTACGGGACGACGAGGACTTACCATTGGGAGAAAGCCTGTCGGAGAAGTTGGGCTGAGGTGACCTTGCACCGTTGTATTCTCCTGACAGTTCATTGGATTCTGCTAATAACTCAGTCAAGTCACCTCCCGCCACATTACCCAAGGTGTCAGAAATTCCTGCGTCATCCATGGCTTCTAACAGCACCTCCATGTCAAACTCAGTGAAGGATATCAGATCTCCCACAGGAGGTGGCTCAGGGATGGCAGGCTGCAGCTCCGGCTCTGGGAGAGTCTCGGGCACTGGTGCCATCAGCCAGTCATCGGTCACAGTCTGGTCTGGAAAGGTGCCGGAGGCTTCACCATCAAGAATTATCAAATCTACGCAAAAATGAACATATAAACGTGGTAAGAAAACAAAGCGATGTCTACTTACGCAGCAACACTCTTACAGAGGGAGGTAAAGTAAATCCTCGAGTTGTGATAGTGGAGGGAGCTGTGGAAGTCAAATCTTCGATCGGCATGTCAGGTTTCAAACACTGACTGATTTTTTAAACTATGTGTTAGGCGTAAAGCGGTTTATCCCCGCCACAACTCTTATGATAACAAATATGGATAACTGCCAACTAGCAGAGATACCAATGATAGTCATAATAATTTTTGGGAGGAAGAATTAAGCGGGTTGCTTGCAGTTCACAAGGGAAAATCGGAAATTCCGCGCACAAAGAAAAAAAATCCAAACAGTTCGCCAAACACTATTCCCCTTTCCTAAAATCCACGTACAGCTATGACATGTTTATGCCTGACATTTCCATCCGAATCCTTCGTGCACATGGTTCGTTCTCCTACGGCAAATAAATGTTTCATCTGAAGTTATAAATTGGCTTTCTTTTAGGGAAACTGTGAACTCACCCTCTTCCTCTTTGTCATCAATGATCACTACGACCTCATCCTCTGCAATATGAACAAAACGGAAAGCGAGATAAGCAGTTACCCTTTTTGTTTGCTTCTTTATTTTTTAGCCGGGTAAAATAAAGACTCCACATCCCGCTGGATTCGTTTGAAATCCTACCTTCCTCCACTGCAGCAGAGGGCGAGTCGCTTAATCTGCAGTCCTTCGTTCCAGCTTTCGTTTGCCCTGTATCTGTAACAAGTTAAAAAAAAACCCAGCTCAACATGAAATTTAACCAAAGAAACGTAAGTAGATACACACATAGCTTAAAGTTCCTCCTTCACTACAATGATTTGAGTGCTCTGAGGCTGCAACAACGTAAGGTCCAATACAACCCATCCAGTCTTCTTGTCACAGTTCCCATGTATGCACAGAGATTTTACAAAATTCAATGCCAGTGCCACAACACTGTAAAAAATAATAAAAAGAAAAGTAACTTCATCTTACTTCCAGGGCCGAGCAGACTCACGTTGTCCCCATCGACCAAGACAACCATCTTCTCTGCACCCTTGCCGCGTATTTCAGCCACATTGGACACTGCGTCTATCACTTCCGATATGCGACTAAAGCCGTAATCAGACGCTTTGCAGGGTTGACCGTACAACTGCTGGAAGTTTGGCGCAAAGCGGTTTAGAGAAACACATCCATTGAGATGTTTAAGAAGATCCCTTGTTTCGATAGCAAAAGTTTGAAGCAGCGTCAGGGACAGTTTGTCTCCTTTCGTATCGACCTGATGAAGAGGTAAAAGCCAAGACTAAACAGGTCGCCGGCACTGATCTTTAATGTATCTCCAACCATTCAATTTTTCAGAGAACATAAGTAACCTAAACTCTCTCGAAGCCCTGAATATGGCTTAAAATTTCGCGTAGATCCTATGTCATTACATCGGATCTCACCGTTGTGTACTGAGTAGGCACATGACTCGGTTTGTGGAGCATCGTCGCACAAGAATAAACAAGGTAATGGGTTTGCTTCACATTTGTACTCTAATTTTCCCGAGCACCTATAATTACTCTGACTGCAAGATCAAAGGCTCAACTTTTTCTTTAGTTTAATAAAGATAGAACAAGGCATTAATATTTTGAGTACCTTAACTACGGGTGAAACTGCAAGTAACATATCTTCAAGTGACGCAAAACCAAAGTTCTGTACGCGCAGCTTGTGGTTACAAAGTTTCTCATAAGCAGTGACGAACTTGGACAAGGGAATACTTTTATCAGACTGCTCGGTTAACACATTAATAACACGACGTGAAAACACCTCCAGAAGATGTTCATGTTTAAGGCAAACTGCAGCCATGTTGCCGCTGCCTTGGATCTGCAGAAGCAAAGGTGAAATGGCACCGTTAGAATTGACGAGGCTTTATCCTGATATGGAGTATGTTTCTATGACACCAGGGCCTTCGTATGCAAGAAGCGAAATAACAAAGATTCGGCTAGGTAGTGGGAGAAAAGTTGAAATCTTTCAAATCTCTTTCTTTAATAAGACTGTCCTTCATGCAAAACCAAATATCGAAGAGACTGTTGATTCAATTATCAGCAAAGAATCTGAGAGCCATATCTGACCTCCAAAACATCTCCAAGTGCTTGTAGTAAGGAAGTCATGGTAGTGAAGCCCCAGTCCTTAGGTTTTAACATTTGCCCATACTCCCGCAAGAAGATATCAGCGAAAGCAAACTCCGCCACCCTACAGCCAGGATACTTCAGCAGTAAATTAGTGATTTTATCAGCGAGCGGTTGTAACTTGGGAGAAGTTTTATCTGCAAGGTATTAATAGCTCTACTTCAACCTGAGAGTAATTGTCGTGTTGTATCTAATGCTGAAACAAACGTGCTTTTAAAAGTCCTCTAGCTCATCCAAGAACACTGACCAAGAGATCGTAAAGTTTATAATCTCTTGCCACTGACCAAATAAGTACAGTCTAGCATACTTAACTGTACAGTGGCAGCCTATAATCTACCATAACGGCCGTCTTCTACACTTCTACTCATATACGAACAAAAAAAACACACACATTTAAGATAGGGTCTGACAAAGAAATTTCAATTTTCCCTGTCTTGAAGGAAAATTCACTGAATTTTCTTTGAACTTTGAGAACCTGCTTCCCTCGTCCTTCATTTGCCTGAGGCACGAAGTCAAGTAATTGAATGAAAATAAGTCTAAAAAGCAATATCTCTCATCTCAGCCGGGAAAAAAAGAAAGGATTCCATCAGTTTTCACACATATAACAAACCTTTCGCTGGCAAAAGTGGAAGGAGTAAAATTCTATCATTCCCGGATCCTTTGACCTGAAATAAATTTATCGACATTTTGTGAGAGATTATTCAGCGTTAATTGATTTCCGGTTGATTTTTTGCGATAAGT